TTGCTGTTCTCAATGTGGTCCTCACTACCATGGGAAGAATTGGTTGCTAATGAATTTTGAAAGGAAATAGCCACCCCTGCCTAAAGTTTGTGACAGAGAAGAAGAAGGCTAGAATAATTCAACATCAATCCCAGAATTGGAGTTAAAAAGACTCTTCTTCCTGAGTCCAAATCTGGCCTCAGACACTCACGAGCTTTGTGACCCTGAGCAAATCACTTCACCCTGTTTGCCTCAGTTTCCTCATCTGTAAAATGAGCTGGAGAAGGAAATGGCAAACCCCTCCAGTATCTTTGCCAAGAAAATTCCACGTGGGGTCACAAAGAGTCAGACATGGCTGAAAAATGAATCAACAATAACAACAAAAGATTCAGAGAAAGAATAGATAAGAAACCCTGACCTACAGCTCTACAAGGGAAGTCAGCCAATGAAAGATGAGAAACCCTCAAGAATTAAATTTGAAAACCCAAAGAGAAATAGTTCTACCGAGGACGTGGATCTGAATCCTGCCTCAGACACTTAGTAATTGTGTGACACTAGGCAAGTCAATTAACCATAGTGTACCTCGGTTTCCTCATCTAGCAATCTGATCCCATGAAGGAAGATTTGGATTTAAATCCTACCTCAGGGTTTACCAGCTGGGTCACCACTGAAGCTCTCTAAGTCTCAGCTTCTTCATCTTCAATAGTTCAGATGCTCTATTTGTACCACCTGCAGCACTCCCTCCCATATGTATCATCAGAAAAGCTATCCCAGGTTTGAGGCACTACACGGTTAGAACCCAGTTTATGGAGCCTTTACTAATGTGTTTCCTTTTACTAGCCAGCCAAAGGACACAGTTCAAAACAAGAGACACTGAGTCAAGCAGAGCATCTATATCATCAGGTGGCCAGGAGAATCAAGAGGAAAATTTCCATCCATATCTTTATAAGCTTTAAAGTGCTATGGAAATGCTAATTACTATTTTTTAAAAAAAAACATTTCCATAGTCTTGAAGGTTAGCAAAGCACTTTTTTCACAACCACCCCGGATGGCAGGTACTGCAAACATTTTCATCCCATGTGATTTATCCAGAGTGGCACAGCAAGTGTGTGCCTGAGACAGAATTCCAACTCAGATCTCTCAAGGTAGCCCAGCACGCTCTCATCATGGCAGGCTTTCTCTCATACTGCTAGCCATTCTGCCCTACTCATGTGTGACTATGAGGAAAGTAATCTAGAAGTCCTCTAGAAATGTGAGGAATAAATGAGGAAGTTTGTGACAGAGAAGGCAAAAGTAGAATTGTGTAGAACTTGGTGGGCAAAGTTCTATATATTACAGAGAATACAAAGTTCTACAAATTATGTAGAATTTTGTGAGCAAAAGTAGAATTATGTAGAGCCTACCTCTGGGAGACATTCCTCAAAACGTGGGGAAACTCATCAGGCCAAAAAAGGATAGAGGTGCATAAGTTAGAGTCTTTGAGAGTTCTGCGAGGTTAAAAAAGTGAAATGACTTATCTAGGGTCACACAACTAATAAGTGTCAGAGATAAGATTTGAACCCAGGCATTTCTGACTCAAGCCCCAATACACTGTCTAGTACACATCCTTGTTGAGCTAGCTGCTACATGTATTTTTACCCTCATTTGACAGAATTAGGGAACTGAGGCTCATAGAGCTTAGGGGACTTGCTGAAGGCCACAGAGCTAGGAAGTGTCAGAGCCAGGATGTGAACTCAGGGTTCCTGACTCCAAGTCTTAGGCTCCTGCCATGACATTATCCCAGTATGGGGTTGGCTTAAAGTGTTATTATATCAAATACAAAATTGGTAGGTGAAGATATGTTTGCATTTCAACAGTATCACTGGTTTTCTGTGACTTTGTCTTCCTGTGCCTCAATGTAGTCTTCTATGTAAAATAAATCTTATTCACATGGTGAATATAAATAAAACAAAATTTAGAAAATATGATTGCATGATATGGTTGAATAGTCTCCTATGGAAATTGCAGTATATTAGAAAGAATCCCAGGCTGGGCTTCAGAAGACCTAGGATCTATTTCCAGCTCTGCCTCTAATTTACTACATAACCTTAATCAAGCCACTTTCCTTTGCTGGACTTCACTTTCCTCACCTACAAAATTGAGGGAGGACTAGATGACATACAAGGCCTTTTATAGTTCAGATACTCTAATTGTACCAACTAGAGCACCCCTCATGCTTCTGAGTCACCAGAAAAGTTGTGCCATGTTTGAAGCACTACATAGGTCAGAACCCTCTCAAAATCAGAGTTCTTGAGCCCCCACTAATGTGTTTCCTTTTACTAGTCATCCAGAGAACACAATTCAAAACAAAAGACATTTAGTGAAGTAGCAACATATCATTTTACCTTAAGGCATTTGATCTCAAAACTAGTAGAGAAAAGAAGATATTATCTCTAATACTGTGAAGACTTTGCCTGCGGAATAGATCTTTTAGCTTGGCAGCTGTTATTCCCAGGCTCTTTGAAAGGATCAAGAAAGGGGCTGGGCTACCTGGTGAAAAGAGATATCCTAAGGGCAGCTGTAGAGAAGCAAAAGACACATTAGTTTTCACAAGAAGTACTTGGGCTCAAATACTACTTTAGATACTCCCTAGCTTTGTGCATGGGCAAGTCACTTCACTTCTCAATACCTCAGTTTCTTCATCTATTAAATGGAGAAAATAACACACTACCTATCACACTGGGTTGTTGTAAAGAAAGCACTTTCTCAACCAGAAATGAATATGAATTTTTGTTGTTGGATAATGTTTTCTGAATGTCTTAAATTACCCCCAGTGGAAAGCCTCTGGGAACTCTGGCTGGGAAGGAAGGAAAAAAGAACCTGCCATCAGCACTTTTGCATAAAGGGAGGAATCCCCACTAAAGACCTGTGTACTTTACAATCATCACTATTTTTATTTAAGAGCTGCTCATATGAGAAACAGATGTGGTGCGATGGAAAGCATGTTGGCTTTAGAGTCAGCCAACTTGAGTTCTAATTCTGACCTCTAGTTATGACTAGTGTAACTTTGGGTAAATCACTTAACCTAAGTAGGGACTCAGTTCCCCATCGGTAAAATAAAAAGGAATTGGAATAAGTAGCCTTGAGTTCCTTCCAGCACTAAATCTATAATTTGCCAACTTGATGTCTAAGAGTATGAAAAGATGAGAAATCTGAGGTTGGGGTAGTACCAGGAAAGACTTCTTATGAGATGAGAGAAAGAGATCTCAAAAGTGGCTAGGGAGTTTAGAGATTTGGGTCTTAGAGAGAAAAATGGGAGACCCTATGCTGGACCTTAAAGTCTGAATGGGTCTGGTTTCTAGACTCTGGTAGGATTACTCAACCATAAACCTTCCTAAATTAACACCTCCACATCTACCCCACATTTTTAGAGGGAAATGTGCAAAGTAACGTTCATGAACAGACATTAATTTTAACATCTAAATATCTACCATTGTCTTAGGGGGGGTCTTCCTCTGTTAAAAGCAAAGAGACCTCCTTCCCTCCCTCCCTCTCTCTCTCTCTCTCTCTCTCTCTCTCTCCCTCCCTCTCTCTCTCTCTCTCTCTCTCTCTCTCTCTCTCTCTCTCCCCTCTCTCTCTCTCTCTCTCTCTCTCTCTCTCTCCTCCCTCCCTCTCCCTCTCCCTTGCTCCCTTTTCCTCCTCTTTCTGTCCCCCACTCTGAATCTCTCTCTCTCTCTCTCTCTCTCCCTCTCTCTCCCTCTCTCTCTCTCTCTCTCTCTCTCTCTCTCTCTCTCTCTCTCTCTCTCTCTCTATTTCTCTCTCATCATAATAAGAGGGTGGACAGAAAGACTAAGCATTACGGGTTAGCTTGTTGACAAACAGATTGAATCTGGGCACAACCTAAGGGCGATCATACCAAGCTCCAGACTTTATGGGATTCTCAAGCTGTAATGAAAAGCCAGAGGTACAGATGATGGGTAAACTTTGCCTGGGGTTTCAAGCAGAGATTGTTCCATTCTTTATACTTGTATCCCTAGCACCCAGAATGGTACCTGGCACACAGCAGGTGTTTCATAAATATTTGTTCATTGATTGGTGGGTTGGGGGGAAAGTCCAGTCAAGTCAACAAGCATTTATGAAGCTCCTATGTGCTAAGCAGGACAGCTAGGTAACGCAGTGGATAGAGTGCCAGGCCTTGGAGTCAGGAAAACTCTTCATGAGTTCAAATCTGGCTTCAGACACTTACTAGCTGTGTGACTTAACCCTGTTTGCCTCAGTTTCCTCATCTGTAAAATGAGCTGAAAAGGAAAATGGCAAACCACTCTAGTATTTCTGCCAAGAAAACCCCAAATGGGATCACAAAGAGTTGAATGTGACTGAAATAACTAAATAACATGTGCTAGGCACTATGCTTAGCATGGGGATACAAAGAAAGGTCAACATCCCAGAAAACTCTGTCCCTGGCCTCAAGGAATTCACAGTTCGCTTGGGAAGACAACATGCAAACAACTAAGTACACATGAAACTTAGAATAAATTGGCCATAATCGTAGAGCGGAAGCACTAACTAATTAAGAGGGACTAGGAAAGGCTTCTCAGAAAAGGTGAGAAACAGATTCTGCTCCCTGGTGCTTTACACTGTAAAAGACATTGGGCTCAAATACATCCATAAGAAATTATAGAATTTCAGGGTTGGACAGGTTCTTGAGATTATCTGCTTTGCACAGAAGGAACCTGAAGCAAAGAGGGCGTAAGTCACTGAAGAGTCAGGGTTAACCCCATCTTCTCGTACCCCAAATCCACTTCTCCTTCCACTAGGACCAAGTTCTCCCATCTCCTTCCCTATGTTGCTCAAGCTTCATGTTGCCTTCAAGACTTGACTAACTTTCACCTAGATATAAATAGGTTTGGGGAGGTGTTGGGAATAATAGCAATGTTGAAAGATGTTGTTTTGCTGCAAACACTGGCTTGGGAGGGTTCTGCTGAGAGGCAAGAGATTTTCCCAACTTTCTTAAATCTATGATGGAGAGACTTAGCTCTTACCTCCTAATGTGCTTGAGGTGGCTTCCAGGCATCTCTGATTGTCCACAATCCTTTACCTACCTCTAGAGAACCCCAGAGGATGATCTCACAGCACTTGGGGCCTCAGAGGAACCCTGGTCTGCCCAGTTAACCCTTGCCAGATTTACATCTCTTGATATCTCAGTGAAGTGACTTGGGGTAGTCCTCCGTTCCAGTGGGAATATTATCACCTAATCCCCCAGCCTCACACCACTTGACCTTTCTTCTCCAGTTGTCAGATAACACCTGCAGTTTATTTCTCCTGTATCCTGCACCAGGACTTGCCCCCATCTTCATAGGCTTCCAGTTTTCAGCAGATACTGAGGTCCCCAAATATTCAGTCCAAGGAGTAAAATAAGTGGGCGATGCCTGAGGTTCAGAGTGCCTGTGTGAACAATCACCACCGATCTACAAAGCAGTTCTGACACACCCGTTCAAGCACTCCGGGCTGGGCATAAGAATTACATCAGAATTGTTCTGTCTGCTCAGCTGCCGGAGAAATCCTTCCCTGGTAATTGATGTAATGAGGCCAGCGATGAGGTCATCTGGGACAAAAAAGAGTCATGGAATAAACTTGGCTTATCCTGGGATTTAATCATGCAGAGGAAACCTTGAGTGTGCTGAGTTCTGTATTTGAGGAAAATAACACTGGATTTAGAATCAGAAGACATGAGTTAGAGAGCCAGCTCTGCCTCGGACAAATCACTAAGACTCTTTGAGTCTCCGTTCTCTTTTCTACAAAATGGGGATAAAGTTAGGAAGCTGGGCTGGATGCCATCTCCATGCCATGGCCCCTGTTCTCTAGTCTGCACCCCTGTATGGTGCTGAAGGTCACACCCTGGTGTCCCTGTCTACCTTTACCCTTCCCCATACTTTCCATGTTTATCTCTGAGAACAGTAATCAAATCAACATTACCATTCCTGGTAAGGATAAGGACGTGTGAATCATTTGACCTCTGACCCCAATCACCATTCTCCCTGACTTCCTGTTCCCAAAACATTCCTCCCTGGCCACCACTCCTGTCTTTCTTGTTTTCCCCTATTAGAATGTAAGCCTCCTGAGGGTAGAGACTGTCTTACCTGCTTAGATCTGGATCCCCACCCCCCCAGCACTTGATGCCATGCGTAGCATGTAGCAAAATTCTTAATCAATGATTTTTTATTCATTATTCATTACTTCCACCTTTGAAAGTCTATGAATTCTATCATACCTAGTGCCAGCACCCACCCTGGGACATTTAGGTCTAGCATCAAACACAGAAAGGATTGAAGTGAGGAAAATTAAAGGGGTGGGGGTAGGGAGCAGTTTCCCATTAAGCCGTAATGTACACTAGAATAAGAACAGCTGAGTGGTTCAGTGAATAGTCCTGGGCCTGGAGTCAAGAAGGCTCGTTTTGCTGAGTTCAAGTCGGGCTGGACAAGTCACTTAATCCTGTTTACATCCGTTTTTCTCATCTGTAAAATAAGCTAGAGAAGGAGATGGCAAACCACTCCATTATCTTTGCCAGGAAAACCCCAAATGAGGTCATGAAGAGTCAGACACACCTGACATGGCTAAGCAACGATGACACAAATAGCATAAGAACTGTGTGCTCAGTGACATTATCTCCTGTATTCTCCCTCCCGCTTCCTGAGTGTTGAATTCCTACATGGCACAAAAGAAAAGAAACTGGGTTTGGAGTCAGAGGACCTGGATTTGCATCCTGACTCTCCGGGCTTCAAGTTCCTCATCTTTACAATGAAAAGGTTGAACTAATGACTTCTCAGACCACTTCCAGCTCTAAATGTATGATCCCACACACTCTCTAAAGTAACATTCAAATGCTGCTTCCCTTCTTCCCCATGAGGCCTTCTTTGATGTCCTTTCCTCCTTGTCAGTAGTTGTAGTGATTTGGCAATGAGTTATGTATATGTAACAACACAAATGAAGAGTTCAGGATCTCCTGACCTCTCAAATGTACAAGTTTGCCTCCAAGGCTGAAAATGCCTACCTCAGCATCACAGTTCAGTCACCTGTGCTTAGCCAAAGTAAAACAAAGCAGAAATCTCAGCCAGGGCCTTGTATCCCAACTCAAGTTCATCTGAACAAGTACCCAATTTAGCTACTATTTGCAAATAGTCACCATTTGTCAGGGTGAGGAAGGAGAGCCTTCCTCCACACCTCAAACGAGGTCTGAGAGACAGAGGAGAGAGGGGAGGACATGGACAGAGACAGAGAGACACAGAGAGACAGAAACAGAGAGTAACAGAGGCAGCTGGAGACAAAGACAGAGAGAGAGGCATGCTACCTGTTCCGGAGCCAGGAAAGAAATGGGCAAGAATAGAAGCTATCTCTTTTTAATCAACATAGCCTCTTCCTTCCAAACCACTGAGGGTGAGGGTGGGGAGGAGATAAAGGAAGCACCCCAGATTTGCCTCATTGTCCCAACGTGCCAAGCCTTTCCACCCTTGAGATGGAATGTGCAGTGCGTAATCAGAAGTGGGTACACAGGGTGTCACCCCACACACACACACACACACAACCTCAACACATGGCAGGGGAGGGGGAGTAAGCCCATGGCTGGCACATGTTTGTCACAATTACATGCGTAAAGTGCTTCGCAAACTTTAAAGTACTAAATCAGTGTTAGTCTGGCAGAGTGGATAGAGCTGGCTTTGGATTCAAGAAGTCATGGGTTCAGATCCTGCCCCTGACACAAGCTGATAGTGTGACTCTAGGCCAATAATTTACCTCAAGGCAACTACCTAAGGATCTAATTTACAGTGCCTTAGTGAAAACTATGATGGCGGACCCATTCTGGAGGATGCTTTTCCTCATCCATAGGAGTTTCCATTTCTGTAGTCTCTGACACTGATGAAATCACAGGTCTAGGCTTAAATAAAGAAAAAAATTGTTATTATTGTTTCCCTCCAGACTTCAGAGAAGCCTTATGATTGTGTATTATGGAGCTCAGTGTTGGCGTTATATCCTTTTACTACTAGAAAGAGATATTCTGAGGGCAAGGACCTCAATTTATCTAAAATTCTTCTCTCCCAGGGTCTAGGTCACACAGCATCATCATAGATTATTAATGGCATCCTTGTCTATAGTTTTGCTTCACTTCCCAAAAGGATAGGGGGTATAAGGTGTAAGAAGAGTGGAAAGGTGGGGGTAGGGGGTGAGGATAGTGATGAAGGGCTTTGAAAGCCAAACAGAAAATTTTATATTTGATCTTGGAGGTGATGGAGATATTATAAATATTAGTGTTTACTGAGTAGATGGAGTGACATGGCCAGAACTAGGCTTTAGAAAGATCAGTTTCACAGCTGCTAGAGAATGAGTAGTGCAGTGATAAAGATCTGCATGAGGGTGGTGGCAGTATCAGAAGAGAGAAGGAGATATGTGTGTGTATCACTTCATTCTGCATCAGTTCATGCAAGTCTTCCGAGGTTTCTTTGAAGCCAGCTTTTTCATTATTTCTTATAGTCCAGTAGTATTCCATTAGGGGGCAGCTAGGTGGTGCAGTGAATAGAGCACCATGCCTGGAGTCAGGAGGACCTGAATTCAAATCTGGTCTCAGATACTAGCTGTGTGACCCTGGGCAAGTCACTTTACCGTGTTTGCCTCAGTTTCCTCATCTGTAAAATGAGCTGGAGAAAAAAATGGCAAACGGCACTGGTATCTTTTCCAAGAAAACCTCAAATGGGGTTACAAAGAGTCAGATACATGGAAATGACTGAACAAGTATTCTATTAAGTCAATATATCATAATTTAGTCAGCCATTCCCCAAATGGTGGTCACTCTCTTATTTTTCAGTTCTTTGCTACTACAAAAAGAGCTGCTACATAAGTATTTTTGTTCATATGAAACCCCTAGAAGGACTGGGAGTCCAGCCCAGATCCTCTGACTTCCAAAAGCCAGTGTTCTTTTTTACTGTATTAAAGGAAGGCAACAGAGGAGGTGATGTCCCTGAGGAGGAGGAGGGAAAAACCACAATAGGTAAATATCTGCTCTAGGCCATTTTGCCTCCAGCCAACCCTGTTCATCCTCTTGTTGCAGGGCAGAAAGGAGCTGAGGGTTAAAGTACTTTGTGTCCTGCCCTGTAAGGCATGCCTGTGCCTTAGAGAAAACTATGATGGGGGACCCATTCTGGAGGAAGCCTGTGTCCCTTGAACACCAATTCCCTTGTCCTCAGTAGTCTCACCAAAAAGGGGGGGGGGGAGATCCTTTCCTTTCCCCAGCCTAGCCAGGCAGCTCTTATGATCCTCAGCAGGCAAACAGGGGCATATTTTCAGGGAGAGCCAGTGGATGTCTGGTGGAGAAGGCTGCAACTGTCTCTTAAATTGTTCCATTCTAGTACATACCAAGGCATGCAAATCTAAGCCCCACTAGGGCTGGTCTGCCCTCTTATTGAAGGAATCAGCTGAGGCATAGTTAAAGAAGCCCTCAGTGAGGATTCTGGAGACCTGGACCCCTTGTCTTTGCCTCTCTTGGTTAGAAGGAATCCCTAGTTTGCTTTAGCCAACGTGGTTCCAGGTCCCACTCTGGAGAAGCCTGAGGAGAAGTAAGCTCCCCATTCTCATATTTACTGGCTCTTTATCCAAGTACCCCTGGCTACTTTTAGCTCTTGTCCAGGGTTTCACTTCCTTCCCAAAAGAGAATCAGGTAGAAGATGGGTCATTTATTCTAATACAAAAAGAAATGATAAGCGTAAGAGAATTAGTGTGCATTTACAGTTCTTTTAACAGGAGATAATATACTTATGACTACTAGCACAGTTACCTAACAGGCTAACATCAAAGCCTCACGAAGACATAAAACAATTTTTATAAGACTGATGTCAACATGAAATAAAGAATACTACCAGAGCAGCAAAAATTAGGATCCTTAAAGGAGGCAAGTGAGTTGTGGCTCGGGGTGTCATACAGCGGCAAGCACTGGGGTGCCCGAGGAGAGGGCTGGGCATGGGGTTCTTAAGGAGTCTTAGGGCAGAGGGAGAGGGCTACAATTCTTGGAATGGCCCAGCTGCAGGTTCGAGGGCGGGGGACATCTGTGGTTTTACAAGGCTAGTTGTTCCCCATAACAACCTAGAGTTCAAAGTGAAAGCTTGGGGATCCCAGGAGGGGGGAGTTGATTATTTGCGAGACAGTCAGAGCCTAGTTGGGCAGTAACAAGTGCTCAGCCTCAGGCGATTCACGAGTCTGGGCGTCAGTCAGCTCATGACCAGCAGCCTTCCGCACTTAGCCAAGTCACATTTTATCTCTATCGGCATCAGAGAGCCTACCTGCGACATCCTAATGGTCTCTCTCTGACGCTGTCTCTTCCCTTGGTACTAAGCTAATCTGACCACCCTGTCCCCACTTATTACTCCAAGCCAGAACTCATAACAACAGCCTAAGGCAGTGGTATCAGACTCAAAAAGAACAGATGCCCCCCCCAAATTAAAGTCATCTATGTCGTGTTGTATTTTCACTATTTTGTTAAACATTTCCCAATTACACTTTAAACTGGTTCCTGCACAATGGGGAGTTTTGTGTCGCTAAGTAGCAGGGTCACGAGTTGGACACCTGGCCTAGGGGGCCTGTGCTAAATGCCTAAACTGAGGTGGCAGCAGTGACAGTGGAGAGGAAAGATCCAGAGATCCTGGATTTAGGGACAGAAGGACCTTTACGAGTTACCTCGTCCAACCTCTCGTTTTACAGAAAAGGAAACAGAGTAAGGAAACAAGTCGCCAAATGTCACATTGGTAGTAAGTAATTCAAACCTCGACTTTCTGACTCTAAACCCAGGGTTCTTTCCACCACCTCTCAAATGAGAAATATTTCAGAGATAAAAGCACCAAAAGTCGTTACTCATCAGTTCTGGGGCAAGAGGGAGAGGGAAGGGAAAGAGCTCCTATTTTATTTCCTACGTATTTTACACCTCCCTGGCCTTACTATCCACTTACTAGTATAACTAATTTCTGTTATGATTGAAGGTTCCTTTGCAAGTCTGGAACTTGAAAGAAAAAAAGAATGTTTAAGTCTGGAACTTGAAAAGAAAGTCCAGAGTCTCTAGAATGGGTAACTGGAGGAGTATCAATGATGGCATCATCAGCACTTAGAGAGGAAGTGGAAAGAGAGGCAGGTTTGGGAAGGGGAAGAAAATAGTGGTGGGAAAAGATGTCAAGCTCAGTTTTGCAAACTTTGACTTTTCATTAGAAAGTTTGTATCACAGTATCTGTCTTTTGTGAGGTTCTTCTTCTTCTTCTTCTTCTTCTTCTTCTTCTTCTTCTTCTTCTTCTTCTTCTTCTGTCTTAAAATCATAGCTTCCACTGCAGTTTAGGAGTTCCCTATCTCTGGGAGTTGGTCACCAAAGTACACCCTTCGGATTGGAAAGAAACATCACAGGGTGGAAGTGGGAGTTGGAGGACTGGATCCAAGCCCTTCATTTCCCCCTTAAAACCTTCATTAAGAAGAGATGTTACTCTTCCATATTCCTCAATAGCCAAAGAGACTTGAAGATTCTAACCCAAAATGCCAAATGTCTGCCAAGGGCTTATAGAAGCCCAGGATAGAATAATTTAATCAAGAAGATTCTTAAACTGGTATTTAAGATCAAAATTGCTTA